GATTTTAGCTTGAAGTCTATTTTGTTAGATATTAGGATATCTATGCCAGCTTGTTCCTTAGGTCTATTTGATTGGTATATTTCCCCCAAACCTTTACTCTTAGACAATGTCTGTCTCTGAGGTTGAGATGTGTTTCTTGCATGCAGAAGAAGGATGGATTCTGTTTTTGTATCCAATATGTTAGCCTGTGCCTTTTTATAGGTAAGTTGAGTCCTTTTACATTAAGGGATATTGATTACCAATGATTGCTATCTACCGTTAATTTAGTTTTCATTGTTGGTGATGTTAATTTGTGTGTTTTCACCTTCTTTGGGATTTGCTGCTATGAGACCATCAATTGTCTGTGTTTTTGTTGGTGTAGCCATCTTCCTTGAGTTGGAGTTTTTCTTCTAGTATTTTGTGTAGGACTGGGTTTGTGGCTGGGTACTGGTTAAATCTGGTTTGTTATGGAATATCTTGTTTTGTCCTTATATGGTGATTGAAAACTTTGCTGGGTATATTAGTCTGGGTAGGCATCCATGGTCTCTTAATGTCTGCATAATGCTTGACCACAACCTTCTGGCTTTCATTGTCTCCAAAGAGAATTCAAGTGTCATTCTAATAGGTCTGCCTTTATATGTTACTTGGCTTTTTTCCTTTGCAGCTCTCAATATTCTCTCTTTGCTCTGTATATTTAGTCTTTTGATTAGTGATTGTTGTCGCTTTGCTATCTATCTCTTGTCTTGCTGCACTACCTGAGACTAAGCACAATACACAACAAAAGTAGAGGTTGTCTCATTCCAGGTTTAACAGAAAATGTTTTTAATACAATGACAATTTGGAGAGTTTAGAGCCCCACTTTCATATTTTATCACAAAATCATAGAATATCAGAGTAAACCTCAGCAAAGAAGCTTTAAGGTTCAATTCTACCATGTGTCAACTGGACTTAATAGATACATTCAGAATATCCATTCCACACATAAGAAATTTACATTCTTTTCATCAGCACATGGAATCTTTTCCAAACATTTGTCACATCATAATCTACAAAGCAAGTGTTAAGAGATACACAAAGGAGACAATGTCTTGCATCCTTCCATTGTTCAGTGGAATAAAAGGAGAAACCAATAGCAAGAGTGTGCACAGAAACTTCATGAATAATTAGAGACTGAAAGGCTTGCTTTTGAGTCAAGAGGTGGGTCATTGAAGAAATAGGGAAGAAATCAAAATTTCTTAGACTCAAATGAGAATCAATGTACAGGATATCACCTCTTCTAGGGAATAGTTAAAGCATTCACAAAAGTTACAGCTACAAGTGTTCCCACACACAAAACTTCAGAGAAGTCTTAAATAGACACCCTAATGATGCACCTTTACACTCTAGGACTACAACAAGTAGCTAATCTAAAGCTTACTATTTGTCAAGTAATAACAAAAAGTAGTGCAGAAATTAATGAGCTAGCGGCTAAAAGAACAATCCTTGAAAAGATCAACAAGATTGATGAACATATGGCCCAATTAATAAAATGAAGAATGCGAATGTCAAATAAAAGAAAGGAGAAGTTACTGTAGACCCCTGTGAAATAAATATCATTACTGCATACCACATTAATTATTCCCCCCAAATCTCAAAAATTTAGACATAATGGATAAATTTACTAAAATAAAGACAGCACAGTTCCAAAATGAATAATGAGATTGATGCAGCAATTAAAGATCTTATCACTAAGAAAAGCCAAAACATAGGCACTCCCGAATGTTATTAGATCCCAGGAACTACCTTGAAGCAATGTTTTGAACTTTCTTGATCTTAAAAGGGAAGAAACGGTTCCAAATTCATCCCATGAAACCAACAGTATCCTGATATGAAACCCAGAGAGGTACAATGTGAAAGAAAATGATAGACCTATTTTCCAAGAACATAAATACAATACACTGACCCTAATGCCCCTTCCCCTGCAAACTGAACTCTAGGTTATGTTGAAAACATCATATATCATGAATAAACAGGTTTAGTGTGGCATGGTGGCATGTGCCTTTATTCCCAATACTTGGGAGGCAGATGCAGGAGGATCATAGTGAATTTTGGTCAGACTGGTCTATTTAGTGAGACCCTTTCTCAAAAACAACAACATCATCAATAACAATAACAACCAAGACAAGGTAGATTTCATTCAAGGAATGCAAGATTGGTTCAAATGTAAACAAATAAGTGTAATTCATCATATGACTAGCCTTAATGCTAGAAATGTCATGATAATTCTGAAAAGTACAGAAGAGTCATTTGATGAAGTTCAACATGTTTTAATAACAGAAATCCTAGAGGAATTAGGAATAGATGGGCCTTATTGAAAAATAATAAAGGCTATATGAGAAACATGTATTTAATGTTTTATTAGGTAACACAAACTGGAAACACCCTTCCTTCCTTTTTTCTCCCTTGTCTCTCTCTGTCTCTCCTTCCCTCCATCTGTCCTGCCCATCCTTTGTTCCTCCTTCCCTTTTCCCCTCCCTTCTTTCCTTAATTTCTTTTTTCCCACCCCCACAATCTCAACAGGAAGCCTCCATCTGCCCAATGCCATGGTAGTCTTTTGCCTTCTGCTCATCCATCACAGTCATTGTATTTGTTCATATCTTGATACATGTTCCACTATGCATACCTGACACCATACTCAATGCTGACTGGCAAGAAAACAACCTATGAAGCTCTGGACAAAAGTTCTTTTCTAGAGCAAAGGAAAATAGGGGAGTAGTGATTGTTAAATCAGTTCCCATGCAAACTAAAAATGAGGCCATTATGAAGATAAATGGAGAAAGATGAGTTTAGACAGTGAGTAGGGGCTTTGAACTTCATTGTTGTTTTTTATACAAGTAATTATTACTCATCTACTTTTTTTTCTTTTATCAAACTCAGTGTTTAGTAAGTTTTTTAAATTTAATACCCAGGCCGGGCGATGGTGGCGCATGCCTTTAATCCCAGCACTCGGGAGGCAGAGGCAGGTGGATCTCTGTAAGTTCGAGACCAGCCTGGTCTACAGAGCTAGTTCCAGGACAGGCTCCAAAGCCACAGAGAAACCCTGTTTCGAAAAACCAAAATAAATAAATAAATAAATTTAATACCCATTGAAACCATTTGGTGTTGCTTGCATGTTCCTGGGAGGGGGTCATGTACTGGAGCATGGGTAGGGTCTCAGCACCCTCATCCATAAAAAAAACCGATTTTTCCTATTTGCAAGATCTACCTAAGATCAAGCCAGACAAACCCCAGCAAGGTGGGGGAGGGTTTCATGGTATTTCTTCTTAAGGGAGAATGTCAAGTTATTCCAACTGTGAACTTAGTATGTACCATGGCCTATCTTATGCAGTTTGTTCACCTAGATAAAGTTAATGAGCTGAAAATCTACATGGAATTCCTTGAGATTAACATTACTCTTTTCATTTTAAAGCCTAAACAGCAGAAACTACTATTTTCTATAGATCAATGACATCGGGTCAATCTCCACTGTTTATATCAGTGACTCTGGGTTCATCTCCAGTGTTTGAAGTAGACACATTTACGAGTGTCACCTCTGTATCACCAGTCAGTTTCGTGGATGTCCATTTGAAGCTCTTGAATTGCAAGTATTGGTGGGTTTTCTTGCTTAAGAGAATGGCAAACTATTTTCACAGGTCACCTCAGGGCAGTATCAGGAAGAGCTGAAGTAGTAGCACTCCTCTGTTTATGCTCATCCTATTAACACGAGTCAAGATGTGCAAACACCCATCAGCAGTAAATGGATGAAAAAGCACAGCAAAAAGACCAGCGCTGTGCGATTCCATTCCAACAGGTTTCTGAGTCAGAGTCAGGCAAGAAAACCACAGGAAGGTTTTTCCAGGGCTTGGAGTAAGAGCCATAGGGAAAGTTTTCAAGGGAATGGGGTAACAGACACATAGAGCTGGTAACCATTGCCTGTTAACTTCCAATTATTCCAGAGATGAAAGATGTTATTGGGTTAAGTGTGTTTGTGTGCATGTGTGTACGTGCGTGCACACACGCATGTACGTTCATGGCCCTTTGTAAAAGACAGTCCCACAGGTCTTAATTATTGTTTACATCCCTCACAGGGAGGTGGGAGCATCACGAGTCCTATGTATCCAGCTATACCCTACCACCAGTTGCATGCAACTCTGCTCCAACTGTGGGTAGTCTTGGGAGGGTATAGAGAAGAATAGAGATGGATCTTTATCGATGTAGCTTTGGGAAAGCTCTATTCCTTACTATATAAAAGCATTCCATTGTAGCCTTTTCAGGGAGGCACATCCATGTTCCTGTAAGCAACCCATCATCTATGCTGTGTAAGGAAGCCCAATAAACTCATTGGCTCCTCAGAGATAACGTTTGGGGGACTCTGCTTTGGTTTGTGGGTGGGACCTTAGGAGGAGTAGATGCTGTTTATGTTTCCTGCTGGAAAGGGATTGTAACAACACTGTGTGCTCAAGTGAGAGAAAAAGGAGAGAGAGAGAGAGAGAGAGAGAGAGAGAGAAAGAGAAAAAAAGAGAGTGTTCATTATATTGCACAATAAAAAGTCTTTGGAGCACACGACTCTACTTACTATCAAGAAATTTATCATAGTGTAATGATGACTGATAACATGGAATGAATAACAGTCCATAATTTATTAAGTTCCCATACATTTTTGATAATTTTATTTAAAGAGTTTTTATTGGTTCTCCAGAGGGAAAGATGAAGATCTACGCTCAGAAGAGAAGCTGCAGACTGGATTCCATGCAGAGAGAAAAGGAGAGTGAGAGTGAGTGGACTTGCATTCCATCAAGGTGGCTGATAGATTTCTGAAGTGGTCATAGCCTCAGAGGACGATGGGAGCTTCTGCCCACATGGCAAGACTGGTGTGGCACAAGGACAGATTGGGCATTGTTCAGTTGGAAAGTTGATGAGCAGTAGGCATGGCAGCAGCTGGAGTCACAGCAGCAGGACTAGATTCCCTATGTGGTTTCATGCATTGGTTTATAGCAGGTGTTTTAACAGCAGGTTGGGCAGGAACAGGGCTCACAGCAGCAGGGCTGGCAGCAGCAGGGCTGGCAGTAGCAGATTTCACAACAGCTGGGTTGGCAGAAGGGTGTGCAGCAACAGCTGGTCAAACAGGTTGGCTTACAGCAAGTGGTCTTGCACCAGGTGGTTTCACAGCAGCTGGGCTGGCAGCAGGGTGGACAGCAGCAGCTAGTCACACAGGTGGGCTTACAGCAGGTGGTCTTGCAGCAGATAATTTTACTGCAGCTGGGCTTGCAGCAGGGTGGACAGCAGCAGCTGGTCACACAGGTGGGCTTACAACAGGTGGTCTTGCAGCAGGTGGTTTTACAGCAGCTGGGCTGGCAGCAGGGTGGACAGCAGCAGCTAGTTACACAGGTTGGCTTACAGCAGGTGGTCTTGCAGCAGGTGGTTTCACAGCAGCTGGGCTGGCAGCAGGGAGGACAGCAGCAGCTGGTCACACAGGTTGGCTTACAACAGGTGGTCTTGCAGCAGTTGGTTTTACAGCAGCTGGGCTGGCAGCAGGGTGGACAGCAGCAGCTGGTCACACAGGTTGGCTTACAGCAGGTGGTCTTGCAGCAGGTGGTTTCACAGCAGCTGGGCTTGCAGCAGGGTGGACAGCAGCAGGTGGTCACACAGGTTGGCTTACAACAGGTGGTCTTGCAGCAGGTGGTTTCACAGCAGCTGGGCTGGCAGCAGGGTGGACAGCAGCAGCTGGTCACACAGGTTGGCTTACAACAGGTGGTCTTGCAGCAGGTGGTTTTACAGCAGCTGGGCTGGCAGCAGGGTGGACAGAGGCAGCTGGTCACACAGGTTGGCTTACAGCAGGTGGTCTTGCAGCAGGTGGTTTCACAGCAGCTGGGCTTGCAGCAGGGTGGACAGCAGCAGGTGGTCACACAGGTTGGCTTACAACAGGTGGTCTTGCAGCAGGTGGTTTCACAGCAGCTGGGCTGGCAGCAGGGTGGACAGCAGCAGCTGGTCACACAGGTTGGCTTACAGCAGGTGGTCTTGCAGCAGGTGGTTTCACAGCAGCTGGGCTGGCAGCAGGGTGGACAGCAGCAGCTGGTCACACATGCTGGCTTACAGCAGACAGTGCTGCAGCAGGAAGGCTGGCAGCAAGGAGAGCAGCAGGAATTGGCCATGGTGTCAGGAGTGATTGGACAGTTCCTGTCAACAGGGTAGTTTTCTACAATATGGAGAGTTCTTGCATCCTGGACCTTTTATATGCCAGTTCTTCAAGGTTTGGACCAATCAGTGGACTTTTCCTTGATGTTGTTTACCTCATTCCTATATTCAGTACATGTTTCATAAGAAAGTGCTTCTCAATGCTATGCATCATTGGAAAGTTTAATCTGATTCTTCCTCCAGAATAACTCATAGGAACACTTTCAATAAAGGGAAGGGTATGGCACAACTAGTCTCACTGTGTCCTTGGTCATCACCTGGTGATGTGGCAGCCCTTGCTGTCTTGGGATGGACAGGGAGTATGTCTGTCTACATTTGTCTCTCATTTGTAGGTGGATTTTCCTTGGGCTTTGTGGCCCATATTTCTACATAATATGGCAACCAGGCTCTCAAGCCATAGTTCATACATGAAGTGGTCACATACCTTTCAGACAGTCTGTCACTAACCTGACAAAGAGTCAGGATGTTGTTTTGCTCCTTCTATGTAATTTGGAGGATGCTTGAATAGAGATGCTAATTCAAGCCTACCTGACTGAGCTAGCCTACTGACCAGGAAGACATGACAGAGCAGGCATAGGAAACAGAATGCTAATGAATTTCCCCCTCAGCTTATGTTGTGGTATAAAGGTTGTCTGGAGAATAAATAAGGAGAAAATTTTAAGGACATGCACTCAGGATTTCATGAGTGATCACGGAGAATCTCCCTCCCGATAAAGCCATGTGAGTTGTGTCTTTATTCCCCCGCTTCCAATTTGGTACAGAGAAATAATTTATAGTCTGGACTGCCATTGAACCCGGACAGGGCTGCCTGTTCCCAACCAAAACCAAAAATCAAAAACAAAAAACAAAAACCACAGACAACAAGACCGTTTCTTCATTATGAATGCTTAATCTTAGCTTAGGCTTGTTTATAACTAGATCTTATACATTAACACATTTCTGTTAATCGAAGTGCTGTTACACGGCCCATGACCTTTCTCTCCTCCTGCATGTCCTGCTTCCTCTGTGTCAAGCCCACACTATTCCCTTTCTTCTTCCCTAGACATCTCTGTTCCCAGAAGTACTGCCCTACTTCTTCCTGCCTAGCTACTTGCCTTTCAGGTCTTCATAAACCAACCACAGTGACACATCTTCAAACAGTGTAAGGAGTATCTGCAACAGTCCTTAGCTGATGAAGTACCTTCGTGATGATGTTGTTACAGTCACAGTGATGGACTGCTTCAGTGTCTGTCCTTTACGCACAAAATCCTCACTTCAGATTGGCTGAGATGTCTGTTTCTTTACCAGCTTCTCCGTCTGCGTGTCTCAAAGGCACCTGGCATAAAGATATCTGGCACAGTATATTCCATATTCGGGCAAACTAGAGAACCAATGTGGAAGTGGCAATACATGAGAGTGAGAAGATATCAAAGTGTGTGTGTGTGCGCGTGTGCGTGTGCGCATGTGTGTGTGTGCATGTGTGTGCGTGTGTGTGTGCGTGTGTGTGTGCGTGTGTGTGTCTGTGTCCATGTAGGTCCTGATTTCTCCTGTCCCGAGGCTCTAACTAGGAGGATCATGTGGAGATTTCTGTTATACAATGATTCAGCCAAGGCAGCCAGAACAAGCATGGAACTGCTGACAGACAGCAGATTCAGTGCTCCTAGGTCAGTGTTCTTTCCCTGCCTTTTTGTCTTTTTCTTTCTGCCTTCCTTTCTGTCCTTCTGTCTTTCTATCTCATTTTGCAATCCTGTCTTTATTTTCTTCATCTATTGCCTTTCTTTGTATGCAATAATGGCTTTAAGATGTGTTGAAATGGTGCCCAATGCTGCAAACCTATAATTTTATTTAAATCAAATCATTATAAGGTGCACATACAGTCAGAAATAGAATAAACAATGATAAGACGGAGAGAGTATCGTAAAATAAACACGTTCTTGTTGTTGTTATTCAGGTAAGAAATAAAACTCCATTTTTTAAATGACATCCTCTCATTCTTCAAGGAGAGATGATATCTATCAACTTTTCTTTCAAGCGGTGCTGCCACCTTTCGGCTCTTAATCTTTTTGTAAATAAAAATTATAATTGGCTTCTCCACTCAACTTGTGATTGTAGAATCCCTCACTGTAACAATCTATTCTTTCTTTTTCTCATTGGCCTGTAATCTCTCCATGAGTGAATTTGACACAATCTATGTGTGGGTTTTCTTTCTAGAAAATGGCAGCTTGTTGAAGTTTGAGTAAATTAAAGTTTGTGATAAAAGCCATATATGGCGTTTTGGGAAGTAGATATGAACATTTCTGTTGGGTGTATAACTATCTGGATAACTGTTCATCTGATTCTTCTTTGAAATGTTTATTCCTTTACATATTTTTAGCCACACTTCATGAATGCTGTAGAATTTACATATTAAATAAACCATAATAGAATGATCTGATATTATTTTAAGCAAAGAAAGATAATTATTTAAGTTTATAGAGCCCTCAACACTGTCTGAACACATTACATAAATATCACTTCTTCTAAAAGAGTTGAGGTCACAAATGTCTGGCCTAGAGCTGACTAAATTATTCTTAGATAATCATTTTTTTTCTGCTACTATTTGTGAACTATTTAAAAACCTCACATGTATTGTTTCTGAATTGTAGAAAAGATCAATTTTTATTACATGTATTAATTTTTCAAAAAATATATATTAGACTGTGAAATCTTTCTCCCTGTGCAAGGCACACTCTGTCGACACTACTGTCAGTACAATGCCCTCTGTACTCTGCTGCCTCCCTCAGGTCTGCTTTGCTCCCCTGTTATGCTCATGTCATTTTTTTTGTTTCAAATAGAATTTTTTTTAATTTTTTAATTTATTTATTTATTAAAGATTTCTGTCTCTTCCCCGCCACCGCCTCCCATTTCCCTCCCCCTCCCCCAATTAAGTCCCCCCCCCTCAGCCCGAAAAGCTCTAATGTTCATAGTCAGTTCTTGCCATTCGGAATCGTGTTTACTCCACTTAACCTGGTAACTCAATTCCCCACGTTTGCATGCAAAATAATTATTTCAGTCTTTAATGCAGAGTGATTTCACTCATTTATATACTGCACAGTCTACCTATTCATGAAATCTGTTGATGTGCACTTGGGCTGATCTTCAAACTGACTAAAATAATGGTGGCTTGATATCCACGGTGGCAACCATTTTCTATCAACTTTGGTGTCTTTATGTTCATACAGAAGAGTAATGTATCTGGATCATGTGGCAGTTTTATTTTTAGCATTTTGAGGAAACTCCAAACTGGTTTCCATAGGTATTATGCCAATTTACAGTCTTACTAGCAATGAAAAGTGTTCTTTTCTGCTCCCTATATCCTTAGCATTTATTCTTTGTTTCTTTGATGGCAGCATGAGTAGTGTGAGATGGAATTTAATAGGCAGTTTTGATTTGCATTCCCAGATGATGACTTTTATTATTTTTTCATGAATTTTCTGTATAATTGTGCTATTTTTTTTGAGATTTTCAAATCATTGTTTCACTTATGGATTTGGTTACTTTCAATTTTGTTTTTTAACTTTTTAAGTCATTGTATATTCTGGATATGAATCCTTGAATGTATGGCTGGAAATGGATTGTCTTCTGTTTTTCCATTCTGTTGACTTTTACTCTGTTTACTTCTTCCATATTTGTGACAAAGCAACTTAATTTGATGCAGCTAACCTGTCATTTCTTGCAGTTGTTTTCTGATCCATTGAAGATCTGTTGAGAATCTTCTTGTCCGTGTCCATGCCTTAAAGTGTTTTATTCATTGAAGTTTTCTGCATCGATTGATGTCTTTTTTAAAGTTTCATTGCACTGGTCTTTTAGATCCTTGGTGAAGTTCATTGATAGAATTTTGTGTGGGGGGAGCTATCATGAATGGAAAGGTTTTCCTTACTTCCTTTACAGGGGATCATTATTGATATGTAAGCTATTGTTTTTGTATGTCAGTTTGTAGCTTATGCATAAAAGTCCTTGCCAACCATACGAGTTTTTTGGTAGAGTCTGTAAAATCTTTTATTACTAGAATCATGTAACCCATGAACAGACATAATTTTACTTCTTCCTCTCATGTTGTTATCTCTTTTTATTACTGTCTCTTGTCTTGCTGCACTGACTGAGATTAAGTACAATACCCAAGAGTGGAGGTAGTGGGAACCCTTGTCTCATTCCAGGTTTAAGAGGAAATGTTCCCAATACAATGTCAATTGGGAGACTTTAGGGTCCCACTCTCATATTTTACCATAATACCATAAAATATCAGAGTAAGTTATAGGAGAGCAATCTCTGAGTGAGTGAGCCAGAGCCAGAAACCACTGATGGTCCGAATGTGAATCTGGGACTTTCAAGGGTGTAGACCTAAGCCAGGACCCCTGTGGGTCTGGGCATGAGTCTAGGACCTCTGAGGAACTATACCTGAGCTAGGACCTCTACAATTCTGGGCATGAATCAGAGACTTCCAAGGGAGTAGGCAGGAACCAGAGATCTCTACAGGTCCATACCTGAGTTTGGGACCTCAGAGGGAGTAGGCCTGAGCCAGGACTTCTCTGAGTCCTGGTGTTGGTCTGGGACATCAAAGGGAATAGGCAGGAACCAGAAACTGGTGTGGGTCTGTGTGTGGTTCTAGGACCTCTGAGGGAATAGGCCTGAGCCAGGTCTCCTGTGGATCTGGGCACATCCAGGCCTGGGAACTCTGAGGGAGTAGACCAGAGATAGAGTCCTTTACAGGACTAATCACAAGCCAGGGACTTCTGCAGGAGGGAATCCAGACCAGGAAACAGGTCTGGGCCAACAACCTAGGCTACAGCAGGCCTGAGACAGCAAACTCCAAGGGAGTGGACAAAGCCCAGGAGCACTGAGTGACCTCCAGGAGCATAGAGTGACCAAAGGGGTAGCTAGAACCTTGGCACTGACTGTACCATGAGGATCAAACATCTGATATTTGGATTCAATGGCA